GTGGGGAATCGAACCGGGGTCTTTGACGTGACGAGCCAACGCTTTAACCAGTAGGCTAACCACTCCCCCTTTGTATCATGGTATGTCAGATAGTTGTTTCACACTGTTGCCACTTTGGTTAACCAACTAGTATTTGTGTAGTGTAGACTAACGTCTAGTTTAGAAATGAACATATCTTACACCAAAAAAATGTTCCAAACTGATCTTCATAAAACTTAACAAAAAGGAGCCAGATGGCTTTCTTAAGTAATGTAGACTTGCCACATTTTCTAGACTTGCATGGGCTGTATTCAGTGTTCACGAATAGCGTCTGACCCTCTGACAAATCCGGCAGATTTGCCAACAGTCCGATAGAAGTCTTCAACCCGCCGGCCCTAATGTCAGACTGTATATTTCACAATGACTTTGACTGAAGTTGTTATATGTGACATGTGACACTTGTTTGCCCTTTATAAATCTTACGTTTGTTAAAAATTTCAATGCCAATTATAAGAAATGTTGAATATGAAATGTGTGTTTAATTTTATTCTATGGGTCCTGTGAATTTTGAATGGGTCAGACAGACATCTGAAACTTACAGGACCCAATGTCCTGTTACTTTAAAACAGCATTCGTGAACACTGCTGTATTGGCTATACATATATTTGTTTCAGGGTCTGTAGATAACAAACCTAAACACATACATAGTATGAACCAGGGATTCAACCCACGACCTTCCGCTCTCCGGGCGGACTCTCTAACCACTACACCACGGAGGCGTTATTTTGAGAGATATGGCGTTTCATAAAGAGAGTAAAAATATACTCTGAAACGTTGTATCCCTCACACTTCTCAAAGAGTCCAGTATTCTTTGGATTTAAGAAATAGTGGCTTACCACACAGCTGTTTTGATTAAGTGAGTGAGTCGGATTTTACACTTCTTTCAATGTACAACTTTGGCCAATAGTCCAAAGCTCAGGTCAAGTAAAAATTTGTCAGTTCTGGTAGTGAGTGAATTGGTTTGAATGTTGCTTTGAACAAATCTCAAACCATAATGAAGGCAAACAAAGATTCCAATAAAAAATCATATGTTTCTGACATACTGTTGGGGGGCATTATAAGTTGTTCACTGGTCCCTCGGGGCCGAAGGGTTGATGTACCCTCGATGTTTGTTTATGATTTTGCTGACAAGAAAAACAGATTTAGAGTGATCTCCCTTCCATCGATTTGCATTCGCAAAACATCAGTAATTTCCGTACATCATACATGATTCAATGTTTTTAGAGATAAAGAATTACTACCACGAAGTACCAAATGAGTTGCCATTGACAGCGGGGTACATTGAAAATAATAGAAGAGCGCTCAGCCAATCAGAAAGCGACATTTATGTGTGAGGTAAGATAAAATGAATTGTGGCTCTGAAGACAACTGGGAACCCCATTACCTGCATGGTCTTGCGAGATTGGGGCCCCCTTCCACAAAGCGATCATACTGTTAATACTATCGTAAGCCACTGTCAAAGTATGAGAGCTACGATAACCTTACATTAAGATCGGGCGTGGGTTAGCCTAAAGGTTAAAGTTGGCAGCATTGAAGACCCGGTTCAATCTCCATTATAGGTACATGTGGAAGCCCATTTCTGGTGTCCCCCGCCGTGATGTTGCTGGAATATTGCTAAAAGTGACGTAAAACCAAACTCAGTCAGTCAGTTACATTAAGATCGCTCTGTGGAATGGGACCTGGGTAATAGAATACTGTGTGATAACACACAAATGTACTTAAAATGTACCTAAGAACCATGTGGGATTGGTAGGATCAAAGTGTTTGGCACATGCATGGTATTTCATCTGTATCATGGTAAGAAAAGCAAGGTTTATGGATGTCCACTTCTTTATTGTAAATAACATGACGCTTAGGAGTGTATCCTTTTGTTCTTCATGATTTGATGGTTGAGTGAGTGAGTGAGTATGGTTTAACGCCACTTTTAAACAATATTCCAGCAATATCAATGGCTGTGGACACCAGAAATGGGCTTCACACATTGTACCCATGTGGGGAATCGAACCGGGTCTTTGACGGACGAGCCAACGCTTTAACCAGTAGGCTACCCACTCCCCCTTTGTATCATGGTATGTCAGCTTATGGTAGGTCAGCATGATGGTTGTTTCACACTGTTGCCACTTTGGTTAACCAACTAGTATTTGTGTAGTGTAGACTAACGCCTAGTTTAGAAATGAACATATCTTACACCAAAAAATGTTCCAAACTGATCTTCATAAAACTTAACAAAAGGAGCCAGATGGCTTTCTTAAGTAATGTAGACTTGCCACATTTTCTAGACTTGCATGGGCTGTATTCAGTGTTCACGAATAGCATGCCTGACCCTCTGACAAATCCGGCAGATTTGCCAACAGTCCGATAGAAGTCTTCAACCCGCCGGCCCTAATGTCAGACTGTATATTTCACAATGACTTTGACTGAAGTTGTTATATGTGACATGTGACACTTGTTTGCCCTTTATAAATCTTACGTTTGTTAAAAATTTCAATGCCAATTATAAGAAATGTTGAATATGAAATGTGTGTTTAATTTTATTCTATGGGTCCTGTGAATTTTGAATGGGTCAGACAGACATCTGAAACTTACAGGACCCAATGTCCTGTTACTTTAAAACAGCATTCGTGAACACTGCTGTATTGGCTATACATGTATTTGTTTCAGGGTCTGCAAGGCAGACAAAGGTATAAAGATAACAAACCTGAACACATACATAGTATGAACCAGGATTCAACCCCATAATCATACAGGGCCGGTAGGGTAGCCTTGTGGTTAAAGCGTTGGCTCGTCACACTGAAGACCTGGGTTCAATTCCCCACATGGGTACAATGTGTGAAGCCCATTTCTGGTGTCCCCAGCCGTGATATTGCTGGAATATTGCTAAAAGCAGCAGAAAACAATACTCACTCACTCATAATCATACATGTCAGGACATACTGATCTGCACAACACAAGGCAACACCTTGGACCGCTGTGCCACTGGTGTCCCCGATGAACTGACAACATCCCAATCAGATTGACAACATGCTGACAATATGTAGTGAACATTTCCGTGAGATATCCACTTGGTCTATAACATTATAACATTGTTTAGGCACAAAGACAGGGTGCAGGTAAGGGTTTTTTAAAGATGTCATTAGGATAAGTTTGCAACTTTAGCAATTAGTGCAAACCTTGAGTCTTCTGATCTTTGGCTCGTCACGCCAGAGTTCAATTCCCCACATGGGTACAATGCGTGAAGCACATTTCTGGTGTCCCCCACCATGATATTGCTTGAATGATGCTAGAAGCAGCGTAAAAAACATACTCACTCACTCTTGTATTCAGTAAAGTAAGATCAGCTGATAATGGTCCGTAAAACACTAAAAGACTGACTGAGTTTGGTTTTACACCGCTTTTAGCAATATTCCAGCAACATCACAGCGGGGGACACCAGAAATGGGCTTCACACATTGTACCCATGTGGGGATTCAACCCGGTCTTTGGCGTGACGAGCCAACGCTTTAACCATTAGGCTACCCCACCGCCCCAAACACTAAAAGAAGTAAACATTATCTTGAGAGCCAAGTTTGGGAAGAAGACTCAAAAGTTATTTCCACAATTATTTGAGTGAGTGAGTGAGTTGTGTTTCACGATACCTTTAGCAAAATTCCTACAATATCATGGCTTGGTTTCACACTTTGCAGCCATGCAGGGAATCAAACCCTAGTCTTTGACAAGACAAATGAACAATTTAATTTAATCACTGGGCTACCTCTAAAACCATTGAAAACTAATAACACGATTTTGTAAATACTTCATTCAATACACAATTTATTCATTATGTATGATTAGCAATTCACCATCTTTATTATAGTCTGTTTGCAGTGAATACGTACCGATGAATTTCACTTTAAGCAAAAACATAAATCAAATAAAGTGAAATTAGAAGTACGAATCCTCATGATTTTACCTTGCTAATTGAACATTTAAATCTCAGAATTTTATTCAACTTAGGATAAAAGTTGTTTAACAAATGATCATAGTTTCAAATCACTATTATTGGTTTGTATTACAAGGGTGTATGCACATTAAATGAAACACCGAAAAGAAGTAGGGTTGGTCTAAGTTAACACTCATCACATACTGCATGTGTGCATTTGTATCACTGTTCCAATTACTGCGTTTACTCCCTTGTAATACAAACCAATAATAGCGATTTGAATCTATGATCATCTGTTAAACAACTTTTATCCTAAGTTGAATAAAATTCAGAAATATATATGTTCAATTGGCAAGGTAAAATTATGAGGATTGGCAATCTTAATTTTACTTTATTTGATTTACTTTTTTGTTTAAAGTGAAATTCATCGGTACGTTTTCACTGCAAACCAGACTATAGACATGTCGAACACAGGAGTCATGTCATTGCTTTAATGGATCGTGTGGTGTTCTGATGCAGATTTAACAGGGGGTATAACTGTTATTATCATGCTTACAGCCCAGCATGTATGACAGTATTCTGGCTGATATTGAATGGCAAAGTATTAACTAATGGTGGTGATAAATGTATGCTTTGTTGTAGGACACCTGTCAAATATATTGATGGTCACTCTTAATATCGATATAAAACTATCAATATATAAAATTGTCATGAATGCATTGTTAATGACCCAAACACATGTGCAATGCATTGAGTGAGCGAGTGACTGAGTATGGTTTTGTGTCGCTTTTAGCAATATTGCAGCAATATCACAGCGAGGGACACTAGAAATGGGCTTCACACATTGTACCCATGTGGGAAATCGAACCCGGACGAGCGAACGCTTTAACCACCAGGCTACCCCACCGCCCATGTAACCATGAAGTGCAAACACACTGAGTTGTATCAATCACTTCACCTCTGTATTAGTGTATTTGAACTTTATTCCTGTAAGATAATGTTATTAATTATTTAATGATTAAAAATTTCAGTTCACACATACCTCTCTTCGCTCTATACTTCGGAGGGGTTTGCTCCCGTTTTTTTAATCCATCACGTAACGACAATAGCGTTGTTGTTTTCTTTTTCTTATACCGAGACTTAGCTTCAATAGCTTGAGCATGGTGTTTAAACCCCGGTGGTCGCACATATATCGGCCCACTTGCTGTGCTGCTGTTCGGGGATGCCACATTTTCGTAGTCATGGTCATGTTCACATCCATAGGTCGACACTGATGGGCTTGTTGGACTCTGGGGTAGACTTGTGGGGAGGGGGGCGTGGTGGACGGTAACTGTGGGGGACTGACTGTCTGAGCAGTGTTCAGGAGGGGTTGAGACAAACTTGGATGCAACTGTCGCGGACTCTGTGGATTTCTTGAATTCCGTGGACTGTCCAACGAGTCATCTTCATCGCTTGAGAGCGACGGCCCCCTCTTACCACCTGTTAGTTTAGGGGGCGGTTGTGGCAATCTAGTTAATGTTGTGGTTGCCATGGTAAATTAAAACAAAACAAACAACAAAACAGATGTATATCACAGGTTATATAGTTGTATATTCCAGTGAATCACTTTAGTGGACGGTGTTGCATGTAAACCATGTGTAGAGGCGGAGGCTTGGTATATCACATATAGCTCCACGAGTGGACGGATAGACACTGAAACAATTTCACTTTTTAATTGTCACCTCATCTTGACAAATCCTCAGACGATGATCGACGAAGATATACACTTCGACGATCAATCCTCTTCAGTAACTATTCATTAAAAAACCACAACCACTGACACATATGTGACATTTGTCCGGCCTTCAGTTACGACGTGCATGAACACGATGTGTGCCCATACGCATAGAAATGTCAAAACATTCGGCCGGTCTAGTCGCAAACGTTTGCATCGAAATCCATTGCATGCCTTTGGTAAGACTCTTGCGTTCCCCGTCGTAACACTTCATTGCACATAGCAATCATAACTTCATTGTTTAAATGTCTGGCAAGGATGCAAAATACTCTATTGACACCACGTTGTTTTGGATCTGTTGATACAACAATCGTCGCCATGCTGCGGGCCTAAGCCTGTTATAACGAGACACATGATTGGTTGATTGGCCCATTGACGTCAGGGTACCTGTCAAGTTTGTTTGCGTTGCCATCCAATATTAATCTATGGTTTGTTTCAACATTTACGCTGTTTCGGAGGTCAATTCAGCCTTACATACCCACCAGTAAGATTATGACAAGGAGTATTATTATGGATAATAACTTATTTATAATACATAGGCAACATTTCAGGCCTACTTAATTACCAGTTTGTCAGGTGAAAGACAGGTTGGCTAACATAACATACATATAATATATTACCAAATAATTGAAGTCAGTGATAATTAGAACCACATATTAGTGAAACCAGTTGTGATAAGAGAGATAGATTATATTGTGCATTTTTTTATCTTTAATATACATAAACTCTACAGCATTTCTCTTCATTTAAATATTAAGGCAGACGCAGCAAGATGGCAGTTTCAGAAAAGTAACATTGGAAAATCTATACTTGCTTCTTTAAAGACTATGTTTTATTTCTTTTTTTTTACAGCTACGAGGACAAAAATACAGTTCTTGTCTGTTGCGCTACAGTTTGCCTGTGGTGGGACAGACAAGCCCAAATCTTGTTTTTTCCGAATTAAGTGCTTATATGAGCCAAATGGTTCAGTCCTGCCAATAATTAACGAAGCATACAGCTTGATGGAAACAACTACTTCCTTACTGCATATGGCGACGTTTTCGGTGTAGATTCTCACACAGTTATCTAGCTAAAAGCGACTGCAGCATGGTGAAGAAATGCCGATAAAACTGCCTAGAATTACAAACGCGCCATTCAATTTTGGTCCCTTTGTTGTCCCAGGATCCGCTGATCGTGGATTCGACTTAACCTTGATTCAATACTTCACTGATTTGCATACATTACGTTGCCTCAAGACAATTATCTCCACATCGGCCTAACATGCTGTGATATAATTGAAATACTGTTCAAAGATGCCTCAAACACAGTTCGTTTGGACGGTGGGGTTAGCCCAGCGATTACAGCGTCCGCTCGTCACGCTGAAGACCCGGGTTCAATTCCCCACATGGGTACATTGCGTGAAGCCTATTTCTATTGTCCTCCGCCGTGATATTACTGGAATATTGCTTAAAGCGGCGTAAAACCAAACTCGCTCACTCACAGTTCGTTCACATTATTTTGTTAATATCGTGAATAAGTGCAGATGCGTACATACAGTCAATACATCACTGCAGTTTATTTAAAGTCTGCCAGATGTCAAACATGAGAAAATGTATTTTGTAAATGATCTGTTGCAGAGTCAGCATTGCATGATAAAGGTTCAGATCTACAGCGTCACTAAGATGGTGAGGTGAAATTGGGTTTTAGCGTCGTGCTTGAGAATATTTCGCTCATATGACGACGTGCATGCGTGTGTATGTGCGGCTGCTTGTACTAGCCCAGACTGAAGCTGGTTTTATAGTGCTAGCTCACAGAGATACCATGCCCCAGTGAAGCATGAATACCCCACTCAGACACATTATACTGACTCCGAGCCGACCAGTCCTTGTTGTACCCATTAATGCCGAGCGCCAGGCAGCGCCAACAAGTATCATATTTTAACGTCTTTTGGTATGACGCGGTCGGGGATCGAACCCGCGACCTTCCGCTCTCCGGGCAGACGCTCTAACCACTACACCCCGGAGGCGGTTGCATCACTAAGAAACCAAACATCATTATATATAGTTCGCACTTCAAAGACCGAGGTAACACACAACTATTTCCAGGATTAGGTTTGAAATTGAGCAAGGTCTTCCATTCGTCATAATAAATCTCATGGACACGTATGCAATGTCCTAGCCAGATAAACTAGTGAGTGATATATTGAACAACATCCCCCGCCGTTACCATTACAGGCCTTCGTGACGCCGAGGCTGGATAACCGAGTCGCCGAATCTCAATAACCGAGTCGCCGAGCCTGACCATTCGGTCGAACTTCGTCGACGGTCAGTTGAGATTTACCAGGGTCCTCACAGTATGTAGTCGTGATACTACCAAATATATGTACTGAAATATGTCCAGGGTAGAAGCTGTCCACAAGTACGATCAATGTATTGTACAAGTCGGGGTAGCTATATGTTATCGTGATAGTATTATCACCGCTCAGGTCCAAACCTGTTCAACTCGACAAACATTGCATAATAGATGTCTGTTTTCTTAATTATAAGTAGTCCAGACTATAAATAGCCTAGTCTGATTGATGTATATATTTGAGATTGTTTCCTACTAGTCAGTTAATATAAAGTTTTATGTAACGGTCATGTGACTATTAAATGCTTCTGTTGGTTTGCTGTTAAACGCCGATCTCAGAAACAGACCATAAATTCGAATCAAAACCAATGAACCACCGATTAATATTATAAGCACCAACCCAAACCGTAACACGCAAACAGCCGAGCCTGACCACCCGTTCCTCGAATTTGAATTTGAATTTGAAATGAGTAATTCCTATTTATAAATACTTTCAAGGTTCATTGAACGTTGTATGGACTTAAGACGCTCACAATGTCGCCACAGTCAGGGATACTTCAGCTGTGGCACGTGGCCCATGGATAGTGTTCCCGTTACGCAAACCAGTGACAGATAGCATGAACAATGATTTACGCATCTTTCCAAATATGAACTGTCGCCAATTGTAGCTCTGAGATCACGTTTTCCGGACGGGCCGCGGGCCACACATCGTAACAATGCACCTGGGTCTTGATCCACATTCGTAAGCCTATGATAAACTGCATAGTTACGACAGGTCGTAACGTTACGAACGCTTTTTGGATCGGGACCAAGATTCTCCTGTTCGTCGTTGCTAATAGCAACCCATTCGTGACCAACTCGTTTTATTCCGGGACAAGCCGAATAGCGCTTCTTGCAGGTTACGGAAAGGGGCGAGTACATGAGGTGCCGAGATTTGTTGAATTCACATAGGTGATTGTTTTGAGCATTAAGAGAGTTACATCCCTTGGGTACGTTAGAAACCTATGATTGTGTGTTTGAATCTCGGGTCGCAGCTCACTTGGAGCAACTAACACATGTACCCTGAGCAAGTATCCTACCCGTCCTCTCTATTAGAGCACGTTCCCTCCTCATAACATCCTCACCATTTTGTGCACACACCTACAACGGTAATATACACTTTTAATTTTTTCTGATACACATTGAACTTATTCCTTTGTTAATGACTCGAAAATGCACAAATTCATTGGAACTAATAAAACAGTTAACTTATTCAAATATCGAGCATCACGTGACAGGCCTTAGTCGTCCGCGTGAAGATCAGGGGTAGAATAAGTCTTCAGCAACCCATGCTTGCCACAAAAGGCGACTATGCTTGTCGTAAGAGGCGACTAACGGGATCGGGTGGTCAGGCTCGCTGACTTGGTTGACACATGTCATCGGTTCCCAATTGCGCAGATCGATGCTCATGCTGTTGATCACTGGATTGTCTGGTCCAGACTCGATTATTTACAGACCGCCGCCATATAGCTGGAATATTGCTGAATGCGGCGTAAAACTAAACTCACTCACTCACTTAGTCGTCCGCGTGAAGATGCTTATTCATAATGAATGTGATGCTTTTGGTGAAGTTGTGGCGGTTGGTAGCCGGGTCGAATCCCAACATGGGTACAATGTGTGAAGCCCATTACTGGTGTCCTCCAACGTGATATTGATGGAATATTGCTAAAGGCAGCGTAAAAACACTCATTTACTTTAAAACAAACAACAAATTCAAACAATGACTCAACATACGGGGGCAAGTGAAGCAACGGAACACGGGGAGCAGCTAGGATAGAACAACCACAACACAGTAAATATTGGCATTTCAGAACTCTTGAGACGTTTCGGTAAGTTAACAGACTATTTTCATGTAATAGTTTGACTTTCAAGAGCAGCAGGAACGGTGGGTAGCCTATGTTTATAAGCGTCGCTCCTCACATCATGATAATGTTCAGTTTCTACAAGCCCTACGGTCTTCTGGGTAGCCTAACACATTTCATCAAAGATGCTCAGTTCCCTACGAAGTAGCTCATTTCTGGTGCTTGCGATACTGCTGGAATACTGCTAACAGCGGTGTAAACTTATCCTCACCCACACTTCTCAATTTGACTGGAAAATGTTAGACAGGTACAGTTTGTCACGTCTACGGTACTTTTAAGAAAGCTTCACAAAATATGAAAGCGCAAGAAGCGGCAGTAAAATCATAGTCTCATGCTGTCAGTACAGATGCAGTACTGTGCAGGTGAGGTGAGGTGAAATTGGGTTTAACGTCGTGCTTGAGAATATTTCGCTCATATGACGACGTGCATGCGCGTGTGTATGTGTATGTGCGGCTGCTTGTACTAGCCCAGACTTAAGCTGGTTTTATAGTGCTAGCCCACTGAGATACCATGCTGCAGTGAAGCATGAATACCCCACTCAGACACATTATACTGACTCCGAGCCGACCTGTCCTTGTTGTACCCATTAATGCCGAACGCCAGGCAGGGACCAACAAGTACCATATTTTAACGTCTTTTGGTATGAAGTGGTCGGGATCAAACCCTCGACCTTTCGCTCTCCAGGCGGACGCTATAACCTTTACATCATGGAAGCAGTCCAGTACAGTACAGGGGAAAAAAGAGTGCTCATTCCTTTCACAGTGAGTGTGTGAGTGAGTGAGTTTGGTTGAAAGCTGCTTTACATCATAAACATCACTACAAAATATCAGGGTGACCTTGTACAGAGTGATCTTAGTGCTAAGGTGACTCCCATTCTTTAACATGGTGCTGTACAAAACAACTTTAGGGCCAAGATCTAAATAAATCTATGATAAGGTAAATCTATGTTAAGGTATGGGAGTCACCTTCACCTTAGGTTGTTTTTTCAGAACAGCATGTACTACAACATCCATGGTGTTAGCTGAATGTGGGGAGGTGATGCTGGCTCTTGATACAGAGAATTGTGAAAATCCTGGTTAAAATTAGGCTTCAGTAAATCGATGCTCATGTTGTTGATCACAGGATTGTCTGGTCCAGTCTCGATTATGACCAATGCCATATAGCTGGAATATTGCATGTGGAATGTGGCTTTTAACAACAAACAAAGAAACCAACATTTAGACTTAGCCATACTGAAAAGCAAAACCCCTGTGTAACTAATAACAGTGAATAATACTGTTGTACAAGACAACTGAGGTAAATGAAATTGGATGAGTGAAGATCAGGGTTAGAATTGGTCTTCACCAACCCTGCTTGTCATAACAGGCGACTAATGGGATTGGGTGGCTCGCTAGTTGACACATGTCATGGTATCCCAATTGCGTAGTATGATGCTCATGATGTTGATCACTGGATTGTCTGGTCCAGGCTTGATTTTTTACAGGCCGCTGCCATATAGCTGGAATATTGCTGAGAGCGGTGTTAAACACCAAACCAACCAACTAACTGAAATTGCCTTCTGTCTGGGTTGGCAAAAAACAGTGTTAATAAAAATCTTACTTGGCATATATTCATCTGGTAACACTTTATTTACAAACATTCAGTAAGGAAAGAAACGGTAAATCTACCAGACCATTTATGCCTCCTGATTGTGTGTTAGAAAACCTGGATCTAGCAGATCATAAATGAGTGAAAGAATACATACATTTAAGACAAACCTGATAACATATTCACTTTCATCAAGTGGAAGTTTTTATTGTAGAAAGAATATTTGCCACACACAATCATAAATTAACATTAAATAATAACATCTGACACATAGTACTTAAATAAGATTCAATTAATTATGATCATGATAAAATCTTTCCATATGCTAAAGACACAAAAAATACATGGATTAATAACACACAGTTGAAGTTTGCAGTTAGGATCTGATACACACACAGCATATAACCAAAACATTAGAAATTTGTCCGTTATTTTCCTAATATTAATTCTAGGCAATGAAGAAAACTGTCAAAGAATCAACACCATTTTCTCTTAATCGTAATGTAATGACCTATAGACAGAGTGAGGCTGTAATATCATACTTAAGATTATATATACTCAGTCGTTGATATTTTCCCATAGGCATTTTAATCTTGTGCCCCCAAATCTTAAAATGTTGTAATTATCAGCAGTGTATGAAATAAGTCAAAACCCCAGCCAGACATGAGGGCTGGTAACTGGTAAATGTTACCAGTCCAAAATGGATTTAACCAGACCAGACACCAAGATATGACTCAGATGTATATAACATCTAAATTTTTACCAGACCATCAGGCTGGCTAGCTGTAAAACTAGACTGTCCATCAGAAATCTCTAACCCGTCTCAGGCAGGCGGACGAGCCTTATTTCATACACTGTTATCAGTATAATAAATACTCATGTATATAAATGTTGAATTAAAACACTATACTGAAGAACCGTTATGGGTCAAATACACATTAAAAATGACTGTTTACTGTTGTGTTCAGTAGACATGCTTCACAGCAATACAGCCAATCACTCGGTGTTTAATGTTAGCCGTGCTTGCCGTCAAACATTTACATCCTGATATTTTCCACCCAAACATACAGCCCCTGTCACTACTGCGCCAGCAGTAAAATATCACTTTGACTCCATAACAGTAACAATGTAATCTCAAGTTAATTGTAAGTTTCAATGACAAGATGTTAAAAGTAACTCCATCTTGCTGAGTCAGTAGGCTGAGAGCCCAGGCATGGCAAGCTATGTGGATGGAAACAAAAACATGTTTTGTTCATTCTGTCCTTTGATCTACAATAAAAACTAAAACTCAGTGCTCTGAATAATACATGATGTTGCATTATGGTCCAAGTACATATTGATATAAGAATTTATACAATGCCATTAAAACAATTGTCCAATCAAATTGCTCCTGTGTGCATGAAAAATTCTGTGTTCAGTTACAGGTCAATGGAGGTGGAAATGAGGCTATGTTGGTCAGCGGTCCAGGGTATTAATGGATACTGAATGGAGATAAAACACCCTGGATAAACGAAGATGGTCTCAACTGTTTAACCGTACATATATGAGCTAAAATAAACACAGGCTACAGTCCGCTTGGACCAGCAAGTTCTCCAGCCTCATGAAATTGTAAATGGCATGACTGAATTATTAACAACTTGTCTTCAGTGATTTATCAGCATAAATTCCTGTCTGAATGTTGACGAGTGTAAAATACAATTACAGAAATAGACCAATATCTGTTGAGAGGTCGACCATTTGAAAACACATATTGTCTGAGCCTGTGCATGTGTGTGTTAAGTGTGCATGCAAGTCTGTGTCTGGGTGCATATGTGGGTGTGAATGCGTGTGTGAATCTATGTGTGTCCGTAGCTGTGTTTGCATTCATCACGCACCTGAGGTTCTCTATGTGTGTGTGTGCATGCATGTGTGCGTGCGTGCGTGCGTGCAAACGCTTGTTTGTGTCTGTCTGTGTCTGTAACTCTGTACATCCATCACACATCTGAGTCTCTGGTTGTGTCTGAGGCTGTATGTTTGCTTGTCTGTGCCTTTGTGTAAAGCGTTATTCCCTTCATATAACTGTACTGGTTATTAATCACATGTATACACATGAAATAAGAGTCATTCATGAGTGAGTCTAGTCTGCAAACATAGAGGATCTGTAGACATCAAGTCGGTTGTGTGCATCAGACCTGTAACGGACATCAGACCCAAGCAGACAGAGTGATCCACACTCTGCCTTTAAGGTGCCAAAGTTTACACGGACCTGGTCAATGATCAACTGAAAATAAACAGCTTCTCTTCATACTACTAACAATTGAAAGGTGATAAAGTACAAAATCTCTTCATTGAGACAAAGCTTCTGATATCTGACACTGACTGAGTTTGGTTTTACGACAAAGATACATAATGGCAACAAAAAATGGGCTCCACCCAATGTACACATGTGGAACTTTGACCTGAACTTTCAACCACTAAGACCCACCGCCCTGATACCTGACACTGACCTTGACGAAGATACACAATGGCAACAAAACTACAGCTCCCAATGTACACAAGCAGTGTGAACTTTGACCTGGAGTGTCCCATAGTGGCTTCTACAACTTTTTGGTGGATCCAGTGGGGTAGGATTGAAAATGAGGTCGGAGATGAGAAAAAGAGATGGGCATTAACACTCCCTTTCTAAACTTATACTGAGCTAAAAGGACTGTAAACTCATTACTTAATTACTTATTTCTAAGACTAATAGATACTCTCTCTAAAAACTATGTTTTCACTCATCATAGAATAACCGCATTTGGAAAGGAACAGGGCTCATCGAGAATTGAGTTGCTCACTTGTAAGAAGGGGCCATTATGAATGGGTTGTGTTTGGGTGAGATTTTATGAATCCAGGAACATGAATGAAAGAACATGAAACAATTTTGTTTGCACTCAGCATCGAGAGCAAGTAGCAGAAATGCAATATGTGAAACATAAGAAATGTAAAAAATTGCATCCCTCTGTTTTCTAAAGAGCTGTATCCATATTTGAGACACAAACCGGTAACTGTGCCCCAGATAACAGTATCAAGGCAGAATCTATGTGTTCCTCCATGTTGTTCTGGGTGAGTCGATCACATTAAAGTTAGGGATCACGTGTCCGAGTTGAAGATCACGTGTCCAGGTTGAAGATCACGTGTCATAGTTGAAGATCACATGTCAGAGTTGGAGATCTGTGTGGCCAGCACTGCGATAAGGATGACTGTTGCAATCACCAAGAAAGGAAGCCACGTCTTCAGGAAGCCTGCGACACTGGAATCAAAGACACGTCAAGTGTAATATTAAAGATATTGTCTTATTGACACCAAATTCAGCAATACTTCAGCTGTATGATGGTGGCGTGAGGGTGAGTGAGTGAGTGAGTGAGTGAGTGAGTTTAGTTTTACGCCGCACTCAGCAATATCCCAGCTATATGGCGGCGGTCTGTAAATAATCGAGTCTGGACCAGACAATCCAGGGATCAACAGCATGAACATCAATCTACGCAATTGGGACACGATGACATGTGTCAACCTAGTCAGGGAGCCTGACCACCCAATCCCGTTAGTCGCCTCTTACGACAAGCATAGTCACCTTTTATGGCAAGCACATGGGTTGCTGAAGACCTATTCTACCCCGGATCTTCACGGGTCGCAAATCGTCAAGCATGGTGTGAAATACGACTTCACTGCTCAAATTATGAGAGCATGTAAATAGTTATGCCTGGACCATATAGACCAGTGAACAACATTATGAGTGAGAATTTCGGGTGCATTATAAATATACACATTATTATTATCATAATGATTATTTTATACATGAGTTTTTCTTAAAATAATTTTGATTGTCACCTCTTCCAGTAAATCCATATGTCCATTGTAAGAGCAAACTTAAAGGATTTCACACTTTAGCAAACTGTTTAAAGAATGTCTAAACATAACGACCACCGTACAGATCATTTGTCATATGAACAACACCACTGGGTACAAACATACCTGACAAACTTCCCCTTACACAACATCAAAAAACACAGCTTGATCATGTTCCAGGAATGACTGTTCCCATAATTCATCAGATCTAACGCCATGGCAACGTGAGAATGACAGTTGTCACAACATAGGTTATGCTGAAAATAGAGTTGGCAAAAGTTAATTCGAGCCTGAACAAAGTGTTGAGAACACCTCTATATATATCTGTTACTTGTAGCGCTGTGGTGAGCACAGTTCACACCTGTGTGGGTTTGTTGCTAGCATCCAATGCCACACAAATGTACCCCAGCAATGGAAAACAATAAGAGTACATTTAAGATACTGAATGGAATTTAATGGAGTTTAATGGAGTATCAGTAATCTGTGTTTCACTTATGCACCACAACATTGCTAGTCTTGTGTAAACAGGTCAATAAACAATAAAACAATACTTTTCAGATAAATACGTCTGTAAATGATTCTAAGACCGTACACCATCTGCTATGTTTTCTAAATTATTTCCTACCATATCGTGCTTATTTTATATCCGTACATACACTGATACGGCCCTTATCTGGAGCACCTGCCATCAATGTACTCCTATATGTTAGATAAGCTATGAGGATTGTCTGCCCTGACTGGGGTGGTGGGGTAGCCTTGTGGTTAAAGCGTTTGCTAGTCATGCTGAAGACCGGGTTTATTCCCAATACGGGTATAATGTGTGTAGATCATTTCTGGTGTCCCCCGCCCTATTGCTGGAATATTGCTAAATGTAGCATAAAACTAAACTCACTCTCTCACTCACTGTCCTGACTAAAAGGATGGTGTTCAATCCTATCCTTTGGTGAAGGACTTCCAGACAGCAAAAGGCACCACTTTAAGTTCTGTTTGATATATCTACTAAGTTTTGTTGAAAAATATTGAACGTTTTTTGAGTTATGCTCCGGAAACAAAATGATTATGGACGGACGGATGGACCGACCAACAGACGATGCGACGACTATATCCCCCCGCATTACATGCCGGGGGGATAAAAAAGGAAAGGTTATTACACACAATAGTTCTAACCTTCCTGTTCCCAGTTGCATGCATCCAAAGATCTACAGATGCTTGGTGTTGAGAGTGAGTGTGTGAGTGTGTGAGTGTGTGAGTGTGTGAGTGAGTGAGTTTAGTTTTACACCACACTCAGCAATATTCCAGCTTTTTGTAAATAATCGAGCAATATTCCAGTCTGTAAATAATCGAGTGTGGACCAGACAATCCAGTGATCAACAGTATGAGCATCAATCTACGCAATAAGGAACCGATGACATGTGTCAACAAAGTCAGCAAGCCTGATTACCCAATCCCTCTTTGAAGAGGGACAGATATTCTGTAATTTACGGTTTTGAGTAGGTTATTCAAGATATTGTTCACTGAAATTTAAAAACTTCTTTTCACTTCTCTAAGAATAAAGACTATTAAAACAAATAACAATAAAGAATTATCTCTCTTATCTCAACCCTACAGCAAAGCTTCATTTTTCAGACATGTGATATGATCAATTTGTGATGTCATGAACAATGAATGTCATAGCATATGTTTTTTTCAACAATGAAGCACTGTTGTGTCATATGGTAACTGGTTTCAACTGATCAATCAGCATTGATAAATTTGCACATTGAGATGAACTTCAACTCATTTCCATGGAAACCAAGAAAAATAAAAATGAAAAAAATGTTTGTAGTGCCAGGAATTGGTTAAAATCTCATAATTGATGATTGCTCCATTACAACCGATCAATCATCGAAAATAATTGGTTAGCGTCATTTATGAATTTGTCTTGGTTATTTTTGTTAATGCACAAAAACATAAAGAAATAACATGTAGTTCTTTGGGGGTTTTTTGGGCAAATTTCAAATCTTGAACAGATAACTAGTATGTTAGGAACATAACTTTCTTGGGGTCTTTAAGATAAATTCAAGCATGACTTGGAACGAGCTTGTAGTACTCATGGAATGTAACTGATAAAACCAACCGTGTGAAAAATATTGTTAATGCAAAAAGTGTTCCAGAATTGTTTGTGTTCGATTATGAGAAAACATGATCGATTGCTTGGTCGTTTCGTCACTGCAACCAATCTTCGATTATTTCAATTAATCGGACCACCACTACTGTAAACAGCAAAAGGCACCACTTTAGGTTCTGTTAGATATATCTACCAAGTTTTGTTGAAAAATATTTAACGGTTTTTGAGTTGTGCTCCGGAAATGAAACCAATCCCTCCTTTTTGAGACTAAGTCCGAAACTTTTCCATGGAAACCAAGAAAAATAAAAATGCCAAAACTCTGTAAATAGCAAAAGGCACCACTTGAGCTTATGTTTGATATATCTACCAAGTCTTGAAGAAAGATATCGAATGGTTTTCGAGTTGTGCTCTGGAAACAAAGGTCACCCCTCCTTTTGAGACTAAGTCAAATCGTTTCCATGGAAACCAAGAAAAATAAAAATGCCAAACATCTGTAAACACCAAAAGGCACCACTTGAGGTTCTGTTTGATATATCTACCAAGTTTTGTTGAAAAATATTGAACGTTTTTTGAGTTATGCTCCGGAAACAAAATGATTATGGACGGACAGACAGACGAAAGGTTATTACACACAATAGTTCTACACTTACTGTTCCCAGTTGCATGCATCCAAAGATCTACAGATGCTTGGTGTTGAGAGTGAGTTTAGTTTTACACCACAGTCAGCAATATTCCAGCTATATGGCGGAGGTCTGCAAATAATCGAGTGTGGACCAGACAATCCAGTGATCAACAGTATGAGCATCAATCTACGCAATAGGGAACCGATGACATGTGTCAACCAAGTCAGCAAGCCTGACCACCCGATCCCGTTAGCCGCCTCTTACGACAAGCATGGGTTACTGAAGACTAATTCTAACCCAGATATTCATAGGTCACAAGGGGAGAAATTTGAGAAAAAGCCATGACACATGGCACAAGGCTACCTTACAGACCCACACCACGACAATAGTCAGTGCTGGCTACATGAGATAAAATCTCACCATTCTGTGTTTATACTCTTCAGATGCGTCAGCAACAGCCTTGTCCCAGGACTCCTTGCCGCCTCGAACCTTTTCCAGTTCTAACTGCCAGTACCTGTAATGAATCATGGACTAAATCTTTATTCCACACCAAAGCAGTTTTCAAGAGGCATGGTCCTTCTCACTGTTCAATGAACTGCCAAAACAGTACTTGTTTAAAATTAAGGTGCTTACAAATTACAAGCAAAGTTATCTATTGTTTGAAGCAATGACGACTGAACTGCCATAATAGTACAGTCAGCTCTCGTTAATCCGACACTCATTAATCCGACAATCACGTTAATCCGACAAAAAATTAGGGAACCATTTAAAACAGTGATAATTACTCTCGTTAATCCGACATTCTCGCATTCCGACTCCGACACACCAATCTAGCAGCTGATTATTGTAAATACAGTGTAAAAACATTTGTTAATCCGACAATCAACACAGCCGGTCGGATGATCCGACCGTATATCCGACCGTATACAAACAATCACACATGAGTGATAATTAGCGTGTGCCTTACCATTTCTGATATGCATGCAACAGTATGACGATCATGACATTTAGTAAACATTGATATTTTCACACAAATACATTAATCCGACATTTTCATTAATCCGACATTTTCGTTAATCCGACATATTTCTCTGCAACCACAAGTGTCGGATTAACGAGAGTTGACTGTACTTGTTCAAACTTAAGCTGCAAACCAAATACAAGCAAAGTTATCTATTGTTTGAAGAAATGAATTAAAACTAAAGCTGATCCTTCAAGTAAATGATATTATTTGTTAGCATCCATTAATATAATTGAGACATCATTTTGACACAAAGCTAGCATACTGTACTATACCATACTTTACATAACTATACAATGCTTACAACTGACAATAACATTGATTTGTTTCACATGTAACTATAGAATCACTACCAGGAATGAGAGTTATCCCCCTTACATCACTCTAAACCTCAGCAAAACCAGGCAATATTCCTTAAAGACTGCTGTCACATAGACCAGCAGTAAAACAACAAAACAACACACATTTACACTGTTATGTTTTTAGACAGTGCAACACAGTTCAATATGAACATACATACCTTGTTGGGTTACCAAATGCCATTTCATCTTCCTGTAAAAATATAAGCAAACTTTTCAAAATTCTTGTGGAAATGTCCCACATCTTAGCTATAGTATTCTCTTCAAACATTCACTGCAATTACAACTGAAGTGGAAAGCTTTACAATTTGATATCTTGAAAAATATCAGAGTAATTATCTATGTTAGATAATTAATTGCTTGTGAGTAAATAAGTACAGAGTACAGAAATTCCAAGCAATTCAAAATACTGCTGCTCGTATTGTATGTCTGAAATCTAAGCGTGATCACATCAGTCCATCACTCATTTTCCTGCATTGGCTCCCTGTTAAATACCGCATCAACTTCAAGATCCTGTGCCTTGTGTATAAATGTCTCCACTTTCAGGCTCCAGAGTATCTGTCTGAACTCCTTACACTGTACACCCCTGCAAGATGTCTAAGATCTGTAAATCAGCACTTACTTACAGTCCCTAAAGTCAGACTTGTCTCCTATGGTCAGAGGACCTTTGCCTACACTGCAGCATTGCTTTGGAATTCACTGCCAGTTGACATCAAATGTGCCAAATCACTGAACTCTTTCAAGTCCCTTCTAAAAACCTATTACTTCTCCAGAGCCTTCTCTTAGATCTTTTCTTCCCTTTTAACTACAACTATTTGTAATCTCGTGTCAACATCGTACATAGACTTACTCCTTTTGTAGCGCCTTGAGCGAGCATTGAATGCACGGATATAGGCGCGGTTACAAATACCCACTATTATTATATAGGTAGTATTTTTCCTGTACCACGATTGGTCAAAATACCGTCACATGATTGACTACAAAACACGATATTGACTTGAGTTTTCTGATAAATTACGATATTGACTTGGGTTACTAAAAATAGACAAGGAATCCCGTAAGAAGGGGCTTCCCCCGCTTTTCAGCCAATCAGATCACTCGGATAGATGGCACAGTGTGTGCATTAAAAGTTTATGTAAAACCCGTTTCTCTTTCATTATATAATAAAACAATTATAGACTCTTGTAGAGAGTCGATATCGGTTTTATTGACCTGAGTAAAACAATATCGACCTCACAAGCTCGGTTGATATTGTTTTACTCAGGTCAATAAAAACCGATATCGACCTCTACAAGAGTCTATAATTGTATATTATTATTATTATTATTATATGTAAAAAACCTATTCAAACTAAGCATGAGCAACACACTGATACAACCAAAGGTAATTCCTGCACTTTAGGAATAAAACACTAAAGGCTATCAACCTCAAGACGTAAATCTCCTTTGAGATACATACTGCAACATAATATGGTCCACCAAAGTCTCGAATGACACCGGATGTCGTTGCAATTCCCATGTGTCCAATGAATGGGAAAAGCCACCTGAAAGAAAAGGAAACAACAAACTGTTCAATAATAGGAACAAAGTCAATGATAGTAACAAAAACTATAAACAGAGTTTCTGGGTAGTGTTTGTTACATTAGCAGTATCCACCATGGCATTACCAGAGAATGTGAATGATGAAAACGTCAATTTTTCACTCAATGACCTTATACAAATTCTCTCATATCAATATCAGCCCACTGGTAGTGAAAACAGTGATGGCAGCAGCAAGGAAAGAGAGGTATGTTTATGGAATTAAGAATCAGCTGGTAATCAGAGCATATAATCATGATAATGGTCGTTGTTGACACATTGTATACTGCCATGTACCCATATATTCTCGAGTATACTAGAAAGTACCCACAATCTCCAAACCATGAAACATAACCTGTGCACTTAAAAGTACCCAGTAATATTCTAATAAATTCTGCTGAGACTTTTACAACATTACAGTTCAATTCCAAACATTGTTTATGAAAGAATGCCCACCATACATAGCCTACATGAAACTAAAAGAAAACGATCCACATGAACCTGACAGCATGGTTCACACTTGGACCTATGTATGAAGTTTGCTACATGTAGTGAGTTCAGTTTTACGCCGCACTCAGCAGTATTCCAGGTATGTGGCGGCTTGCTACATGTAAGTGCCCAGGGTTAGTTCTCAGATTCAGTATGTACGTACGTGTACTTCTATTGTATGCTCTAAAGCGTATGGATACATGCTAGGTGTGCCAACAACGGCCTTAACTAAATGTCCACCTACAGAATAATCTACACAAAGGGCATCTTTAGGTTGTAACTCGGTTTGCTTGCAACTTTTTTGTTTGTGAAATCACGAGCGATTAATTGCTTAACAATTATAAAAGTACAAGAAAAAAATAATCTGGCCATGATTTGGCAAGATGTATTGTGCTTGACGGTGTTTGTTATTATTTCACTTACGTTAAACAAGGTATCGGTGTCCACACGATGCAGTGAGGGTACCGACTTTTGTTGTGATCTATTCTGTTATTTCCGTTATACATTGGAAGTTGACCTGGCATATTAATCGTGGAACGTTCGCTGTTGACACTGTCAAATGACATCTGTGTTTCTGTTTTGGTCGCCATTCATTTCCTCATCCTACATTGAGTGTGCAGTACCTGCAATATTTCATTCCCCCCATCTAAAGTTTTATCTCACTATCATTGCATAGCAAAGAGATACAAAGAGATTAACCATTTCTTATATAACGATAGTGTTCCGTAATACATAAAACGTGCAGTTTTAATGAAATATCTGCTCAACCTTTTCATTTCAATAACCGCTCCCCATACATTCGTGAATGTTCGGCACCGTCCGGTGTTTTCCGCGAACCCGTACAAGGACGGCAAAAAACGAGCTGTCAAAAGCGTCACATTTGTTCGGAATTTCGTGGCCGCCATTTTCGCGGCAATTTCAAAGTCCTCGGGTCATGGTCAATAATTCGGCCACAGACCCCCCAAATGGACCCGAAGGAAGGTGAAACTTGGCAGATACGCAGGGTAGGCCCTGCTGCAACGTGTCGGAATGTACTTAATATCATGAAGTAAGTATTTTAGACACAGTAAGACGTTACATTATTTGCTTCCGTGTGGCTGAACGGCCTTCCACCTGAGTTGTTATTGTGTGTATAGTTTTGCATGGTGTATGAACACGTGTCGACAACACGTTGTTTGAGTTTGGAAGTATTTTTGCAGACAAAATAACGCATTTGAAGCTGAGAAGGCAGCCTGCAACTTCATTTGTATGATACGTTTGGTCAAACATGGTAGATACACGTGTCGCTCAGCTGTCATTTGGTTTTGCATCACATGTGATTAACAATTTATGAGATAGACCTAAATCCATTTATCGCATGTTTTGCACAATTGATGTTGCAAACCAGTGGTATCAAATAACAAGTCTGACACAGATCAAATATAGTGTGTAAACTGGATCGTATTTTTCTTGTTTCGTTAGTTTGTCAAATAAACCTAGTTTGGATTTTGAGGTTTTTGTTTAGGGTGAGGCTTTTTATTTAAAACCCCCATCTATTCTTAGGCATAGAATGATAAAAAAACGGGGGTTACAGGCGTAAATCTTTCCATTATTTACAATGAGGAACAGCATGTTAACAGTTTGGGATGACTAATAATGGTTTCTATTCTGCCTGAGGCAGTGGTGACTACCTGCTCCCTCGACCATGACAGACACGGGGACTGGGCTACTGTCCACCATAGCAGAATTTCTTGAACCTAAACATTTGGACATTAGGAAGTGTGGATGCCCATCAGATGCTGTTATTTGAAAATATCAGTTCTTGTCTGATTGTAGTATCCCAGTAGTGTAGGCATTTTCAGGTTTTCTAATGCTTAGATGGTATAATGACTGGTCCAAATATTGTCATGACCATCTGATCAGAATGCTTTTTACCTTGATATTTAATCATGTTATGTAAAAATATTATGTCTATTACCTATGTTATGATATTAAAAACACACTTTTGATGTATTTGAATCCGTAAACTTTGCCATTGCTAAAAAAATATGAAAATTTACTTAGGTAAGTAGGTATATACAGTTTTTAGCTAAGTACACAGCAATTACAATTGTATATGTATTTCTTATGCAAGCATGAAGTTCCGCTCGCATCCTCAAATCAGTGTCGGACATAAGTTGTTGTTTATTCAGGCACACAAACTTGCATGCAATACAGCAATTACTACTCTTGTGCTGTACCCCTTGTTTGGTGGTAAACCTACACTTGTTGTTTGTCATCATTCATTTGATGGTCAGTTTATAATTTATAACAGGTATAATTAGTGATAACAAAACTCAGATTACCCGACAAAGGTTCCAATTTGGCATTTCGTGTCTTGAGTAAATACTCAACATTATAAATTCAGGTTTGATGTGGCAAGTGGATTACATGTTATGTTATATGCACATGGGAGTGCAGCAAGAGGAATTATCAGCTGAGTTACAAAAACAAACATTGATCAAAGGATTAACCGATAACACACTGATTAATTAATTGCTTTTATCTTGCACAGAGGATTTGTCAAAGGTAGTGTTTGTGTTTGTAGACTTACTAATCTATACTTCATACACCTTGTCCTAAAGTGTCTTTGTAAAAAACAACGTCCTACCTTCAAAGGATTAACCTCCAATATGCTGATTGATTGAGGCATTTCGTTCCTTTCTTATGTGGATATTGATGGATACATTCCTTTAACGAGGTAATAGCCTGATATTGTTGCTATAACTTAAGTCTGTTTTAATTTTAATATTTGCATTTTGTTTTTATTCATTTGTTATTGCATTCAACAGAATAATTTTGTTCGCAGTGAAGTGTAATGAGACAGACAACATACACTAAGTCGCACTTAGGGCGTGTGTGTGAAATATGATTCACGTTGGCAATCTATAATATGTCTAGATATTACAGTCATGTTATGAATTAAATAAAGTATTAGCAGATTGTGTGCATTTTATTAAGTTTCAAAATGCATACCAATATGATGATAAACTAATTAGGATTATAAGACAAAATATAAAGACCTACATTGACTTCGTTATTTTTCAGTCCTAACATTTTTTACCACTGGCAGATGGTTAAACTTCAAAATGTTACCATTTGGTATCAAAATTATGAAGATTGAAATATTATCGAGTAAAACAGATTTCATCTTTGCTGATCAGTCTATACTTATACTATCGATTACGCATGAGAGTGGCGCAGCAGAGGTAACGAACCAGTCAATAATTTTGGGATTTCATCTGGGTACTCACGGGAGAAAGACAATAACAAAAGCAACAACCAGTCCACGGAAATTGCTCTGGATCAGTGCCCCTTTAAATCAGCCGCTTGTTGTGTATCATGTGTTTCAAATCAGTGATTCAGTCTTAGTGTATCAACTTAATCATGTTAATTAGCAATGCTTATAACACCCCACAAATGTACTAGGCTATGCATCAGTGACTGAAGTAGAGCTGGATATCAATATACATAATAGTAATTAATAATTGTTAACTCAGTCGTAATATCGATCAGTTATCGGTAATTATCAGAGAAGTAACTTGGAGCAAAAAATGTCTGAAAGAAATGATTACATTTCACACCAATGTTGAAAGGTGACATATTTATGCATGGTGAACATAATTTAGAAGCAGTCCATGATTAAAAACCTAACTTTGTGTATTTATTCTATCACAAAAGGTTTCGTACAATATTATCGATGACACTATTTGCATATCGATAATCATTAATATTTTTCCTATCGTCAATGTTTCCAATTAGAAATCTTCTTAGCCAACCCTAGACTGAAGTAACAACTTGAGCATCGATCTACCCAATTGGGATACGATGACCTGTGTCACCCTGAGCCTGAGCTTTACAAGAATTTAATAAAAACCTGCTCAGAGGCCAGCCTCTAAGATGCCATTATAATTCCCCAAATGGAATTAATAATATCCCAAGTTTTGCTAATACAGTCAAATCCCGATGAGTCGAATCACTGGGGACCAAGTAATATATTCGACTTATCGATGTATTCGAGACATAGGTATGTCTATGAGGGTAGAAAAAATGATGATCCAGTCCTAATTCCTCCGCCTAAGCATTTGTTTATCTAATGATTTCCATATCACTAATAGGGGCACCTTATCAGTTCCAGTCTGATAAGCACAGACAGTGATTTCCGTAAAATCACTAATCTGCCTTTTGAACTCACCCGTCAATGGCGCTGGTTTGTTAATTGGATCAGTTTGCTACACCAATCAACTTCTCATTGACTGACTTCGGCTTATGTATACAAGATTGCTGTTGTTTGAATCTCATGGGACCAAATTTCCTTCTCTAGTCATCATGTGTATTTATGAGACGAATTCGTGTAACCGGTATTCAAATGATGACAACTATAACAGGGAATGGTCGGGACCGACAGGTACTTCGAGTTATGCATAATATTCGAGACACCGGCATTCGACTCATCGGGATTTGACTGTATATAAACAAATAGCTACATTTATTGCATGTAGAAGTAGTCTCTGTCATTGATATGATACAGGAGGAATGACTAGGAAGAGATTGTGATGTGTAGGTTACTGCAGTGCATGTAATTGCAAAATATGTTCAAATTGGCCTTCCTCAGAATTCTGTAAAATAAGAACTTAAACAATGTTTAACAATCTTTTAAAAATCCCAATTTTGAACATGACTATTATTTTGTGGTTTATGTGTAATTCTAGATAAATTCCTACGTTTGTCAGTATCCTGGTATTTTAAGCCACTGGATTACACAGCGATGTCTCTAATCTTCATCAGAGCCTGAAAACAGACCTTGTTTCAGCCGCAAATTCGACTAATCATTTCCAAATTGGAATTTATCCTGATTCGTGTTGATGCAGTTATATCTAATGTGATGGTTTTGATTTGATAACAGAGCCAATAGAAAGAACCTTTATACCTGTAATCGCAATTGAAAACAATATAATGACCTTTGGCCACATCTGGTTTTTCCTTTGGAAATATTCTCAGTCAAGAAGCGTTCGTGTGATACAACTAGTGGTGGTCCGATTAATTGAAATAATTTAAGTTTGGTCACAATGACAAAATGACCAAGCAATCAATCATGTTTTCTCATAATCGAACACAAGCAATTTTGGAACACTTGTTTGCATTAACAATATTTTCCTTTAAAGATGTGCAATTTTCCAGAATAGCACATTTTCTTTTGTTTTTACAAACAAACATAACCAGACTATTTCATTTTTTTGATGATGGATTGGTTGTAATGAACTCTTTTGGTTTTCATCTCATTCAATAACTTGAACAACTATCAATGACTGTAGCCAATTGTGATTAATCATTTTCATAAATAACACTTTTAGACAGTTTCTGAAAATATGTTTTTGTGTGACATGCAGAATGTCCTTGTCCGTGGTCAACAACAGTCATGCGCCAATTGTGAGTGATCCCACTCTCAGGCAGTCACTTGTACTGTGGTCGGGCAGTCATGCAGTGTTCTCAGGCAAATGGTGTTTCAAAGTAACAGGACATTGGGTCCGCTAAGTTTCAGATGTCTGTCTGACCCATTGAAAATTCACAGGACCCATAGAATAAATTAAACACACATTTCAGATCTAACATTTCTTATAATTGGCATTGAAATTATTAACAAACATAAGATTTATAAACAGCAAGTTCAGTCAAAATCTTTGTGAAATATGCTGCCAGACACTGGGCCCAGCGGGTTGTACTCTTCTATCGGACCGTTGGCGAATCTGCTGGATTTGTCAGAGGGTCAGACGCTATCCGTGAACACAGGTAATGGGGGACCGTCTAGCGTACATGTTACAACCTCTACTGCTCATTTGATACCTTGGTAAGTCTCCTGTGCATATGCTGTGTCACTGCCGCTCCAACGAATCCACCATGGAATACTGAATAATGAATATAATATGTCAGTAGTTGATGTATTAATCATTGTATTCAGTAAAACAATAACATGATAAACGGCTGGGTGTTGGCAAAGAAATTGGATTGCAATATATTTTGATTCTGGTA